TATATATTTATATTATCAAATATCATATTTAAAATTATGTTTTATTTTACCAATTCATTAAACTTTCTTAATAAAAATATATATAATTATAAAATTTGGTTATATATACGAAAAATTATTATGTAACCGTTCGTGATAATTGATCTAACGATTATAAATCCTAATAGAATGGTACCGTGACAGGATCGTAGCATCACCGATTATATATAATGACCTTTTGTCTACAGTGGTTCAGTTTATTCTTCCACATAGAGTAGAGTAGTTGACAAAAAACCAGAATAATCAAATTATTAAACAACTGCACAAACTCTTCACATCATATCCGCCCAAATTCTATCTCACTCAAACCCAAAAAAAGAAAGAAAATGCCGCCGGAAAATTCCTCAAACCCCGCCATGAAAACCCTCATCAAACTCATCCTCATCCTCTCCCTCTCCCTCATCTCCCTAACCCACTCATCTTCGACCTGCGGCGGAGAGGGCTCCGACCACGCCGCCGTCTCCCGAGCATTCGCCGCCGTCGCCAACTTCAACGCCTCCTGGCTCACCCACCCCAACTGCTCGACCCCCCGCGTCTACGAAATCATCCTCCCGTCGCGAAATCTCACCGGCGCCGTCGCGTGGAAGCACCTCCGCAACCTCACGCGCCTCCGCGCGCTGGATCTCTCCGGCAATTACCTGGCCGGCTCAGTCTCCCCCGCGATTTGGTCCCTCCCCGGCCTCCTAGAGGTCGACCTGTCGAGGAACCGGCTCGGCGGGGCGGTCGGGGTTGTTAAACCGGGTGTGCTGGGATCCTCGCCGGTCCAAAGGGTCAATCTCTCCTATAACAGGTTTAGCAGCTTCACCCATTTCTCGTCTTTTGGGAATCTCAGCTCTCTCGATCTCTCGCACAATGATTTTCAGGGTGTTGCTTTTCCTTCTTGGTTTTCCAATTTAACGAATCTCGAGTCGCTAAACGTTTCCGGTTGTGATTTTTCCGGCAATTTGAAGCCCATTTCTGGTTTTAAATCCTTGAAATACCTAGACGTGTCTAGCAATCGGTTCGCCGGTAAGTTTCCGGCTGATTTTCCCCAATTGGACGGCCTCAGATTCTTGAACATCTCGTTCAATAACTTCTCCGGCTCCTTGGATTCGAAAAGACTTCAGAAGTTCGGCAATTCTGCTTTTATCCACGCCGGCAATTTAACCAGCCGGCCGGTAAACAACAACGCCAACACCACAAACCCCGATTTGCACATCAATCGCCACCAACCCGCGGCGGCACCACACCGCCAAACAAACAACCTCAAGCCCGTCAAGAACAAGAAAAAGAAGCCCGATTCGAAGAAGAGAAGAGACCTAATCCTGTTCGCAACACTAGCTTCGTCTTCCATCCTAGCCATGGCAGCAATCTCGCTCTTCACTTACTGCGTGTACCGAAAGAGAAAATGGGCCAGGCGGAACCAGTGGTCCATCTCGAAGCCGGCCCACCAAGTCCACTTCCGGATCGAGAAGTCCGGCCCATTTGCATTCGAGACCGAGTCAGGTTCGTCTTGGGTTGCAGACATCAAAGAGCCCACCTCAGCACCGGTGGTTATGTTCGAGAAGCCGCTGATGAACCTCACGTTCAAGGACCTAATTGCCGCCACGTGTCGGTTTGGAAAAGAGTCCCTCTTGGCGGAGGGGAGGTGCGGGCCCCTCTACCGGGCTGTACTGCCCGGAGACCTCCACGTGGCAATCAAGGTCCTGGAAAATGCCAGGGGGCTTAGCCATGATGAAGCTGTGGCTATGTTTGAAGACCTTTCCAGGCTCAAGCATCCAAATTTGCTGCCAGTTTTTGGCTACTGCATTGCTGGTATGTGTGTGTCTGTGTGTGTGTACTTTTTTCATTTTCTTAACCTTTTTTGATGGGTTCTTTCACGTGAAATTTTGTGGGTTTCTGAAGAAGAAAACGCCAATTTTCAGGGTATGATTACAATTTTAGTCAAAAGGTTTTCGCCATAGCTGGGTTTGGAAGGTAGTGACAGTCACAGACCCACTTTTGAACTTACTGTGAAGAAAATTACTCTGAATTATTTGCTCTGGTTTTCGTGTTTTCTTGGAAAAAAGTAAAAAGTCAAATTGTGGAGATTTTGGGACATTTGTTTTTGAATTTCAAGAGCTTCTGTATCATGGGGTCTTAACTATTTATCTCTTGTTTTCATGGCATTTGATACATGTTTTGATTGTTTTCATGGCATTTGAGCTTTCATATCTGCGCAACATACATATTACACTATCACATACCCTTTGTTACACGGCATATTGATTTCAAGTTAGGCCGAATTTAAGACTGGCACGAGCAATTTCTGAATTTCGATCACATGTATACAGAGTACAAACATGAAATATCTCATTGATGAGCCTTTGACAGCGACTCTACATGGAGTAACGAGTAATGAGCCAGACAAAACCAAACACAAATGAGAGGAATTAATTGCATTTGATTGATAAGTTTGAGAGATGTAATCATTTCTTTTCTTTTT